ACCAGCTGCTCCTTGGAAACCCTATGCAGGGACGCTATGGGTTGGAATCCGCTTGATGGCACTTGACAACAACAACAACACAGGGCCTACAGACTAGACAGCCCCCACCATACTGTATCAGATTTCCAAGGATTTGAATTGCTGACCTTATGATTCACAATCTAGTTAAGCAAAAACTGTCCAGTCCTTCACCAGTCTCCCTGTTGCAGCATCTCTGCCCAGCCTTTCCTCCCAGAAAGCACTTCATCCACCTCTCTAACCTTTCTCCTAAAGTTCAGGGTGCCAGAATTTTATTTATTTATTTTTTTCATTTGTGTCTGTTTTATTTGGTCTCTCATATCTTTGCTTTACGGGGCCTATGTAGTGATTTTGCCTATTTCATCATCTTGCCGTAAGTCCCATAAAATAGATCTTGAAGTGAAATATTGTCTATGACAGGAAAATATTTATACAAGGAAGACAAGTTAATACAATTATTATGCAAGTTTATGCAACACCAAAGCCAATGATGAAGAAACTGAAGAATTTTACCAACTTCTTTGGAGTCTGGTATGATGTTGTTGGATAAGCACTGGATCATGAATCATAAGGTCAGCAGTTCAAATCCACCAGATGCTCCCTGGAAATCCTACACAATATGGGTGGGAATGTCTAGCCTGTAGGCCCTATAAGGCCCACAGAATCATTTGGTCTGGCTCTGCCAAGGCAAGCAGAGTTCCAGCCATCACATTATTGTTGATAAGTGCTGTCAAGTCATTCCAACTCATAGTAACCCTGCATAGTGTTTCTGAGGAGCAACTTGTGATTCAAACCCACCTTGAGGTTTAGCATATGTCCTACAGCTTGTTGTTGTTGTTGTTATGTGCCTGCCGTGCAGCTGGTTCCAACTCATAGCAACCCTGTACAGGGTTTCCAAGGCTGTAAATCATTAAGGGAATAAAAAGCATCATCTTTCTCCTGCAGTGCTGCAGCTTAGGGGTGAGTTAATTAAATGCTTGATCAAATACAACAGGCTACTTTTTAAGTTGGTAATTTTGTATGGCCCACAAATGAAATCATAAAATTGGGTAGCCAAAAAGTTCCTCACACTTTCTTATTGGAGTTCTAGTGTGGCACTGGACTTCAAGGTCAGTTTGAACCACAAGGTTGGTGGTTCAAACCCATCAACCACTCCTTGGAAACCCTAATCAGGGTCACTCAGTTGAAATTAACTCGATGGCACTTAACATCAACAACTTCTTCAGTCTGAAATTGATCAAATGTGCAATCAAGATATATTGATGGTGTTGGTAGTTGTGTGCCTTTGAGTTGATACTGACTCATAGGGACTCTGTATAGAGTTTCCGAGGCTGTAAATCTTTATGGGAGTAAAAAGACTCATCTTTCTCCCACAGAACAGCTGGTAGTTTCGAACTGCTGACCTTGAGGGTAAGCAACCTAACTTATAACCACTACGCTACCAGAGCTCCTTAAGATATATTGATTTGTTGTTAGGTGCCATTGAGTCAGCACCGACTCATAATGACCTTATGCACAGGAGAATGAAACACTGCTCGATCCCCAGCCAACCTCACTACTGTTGCCACGCTTTAGTCCATCAAGGCTGCCACTTTGCCAATCCATCTCGTTGGGGGTTCTTCCTCTTTTACTCTGACCCTCTACCTTACCAAACATGATATCCTTCTCCAGCGACTGGCCCCTCCTGACAACATATCAGAAGTATGAGAGACAAAGTTTGGCATCTTGGCCTTCAATGAGCACTCTGGCTGCACTTCTTCCAAAAACGGATCTATTGGTTCTTTTGGCAGCCCATGGCACTTTCAACATTCTCCTCCAACATCCAAAATAAATAAAAGCCTATGTGCATACAAAAGCGTATCCATGAATTATTTGTAATAATTTAAAACTGGAAACAACTCCAATGTCCATGAACAAGGGAATGAATAAACAAATTGTGTTATATCCATTCAACAATAAAAAAGAAAAGAATTATTGAGATACACACTTGAATGAAGGTCAAAATGGTTACATTGAATGAGAAGCCAGATAATAGCAAGAACTTACTATGTGGGTCCATTTATAGACATCATCAAAAATGCTAACGATTTGTATAGTAACAGATCAGATCAGTGGTTATCTCATTAGGGGAAAGATGGGCTACACAGGGAGATGACAAAAAGATGTAGGAAAATCTGGAGGTGACAGATATATTACAAATTGGTGGGCACCATATTAATCAAGGAATTGAAATGAAGGAATTGAGACATATTAATCAAGGAATTGAAATAAGGAAATGAGACCCTGTGCATGAAGAGCTCATTGTTCTAGCAAAGCAACAATGAAGTGTTTTCTTTGGATAGCAGAGCTACAAGGAAAAAAACTCTATTCAAAGGCCCTTAATTCTTTTTTATCTTTTTCTTGAATTATTCTCTGATTTACTCATGATTTTATTAGTATTCCTTTACTTTAGAGATTGACTCTCCTACACTTTAGTATATTTTTATTAAAAGTTAGAAGCCATATATTAGCTACATTTACTCTACTTGTAATCATAGGTACTTTTTACTTATATTAACAATGTTCTTAAGATTGCTAGGAGACAGGATTTGTCAATTGAATTACTACCAGTTTAGGCTTAGTGATTATAAACATTCTTCCTTGCAGCCTTAGTTTGGGACAGTAAAGAATCCTTAAAAGCAACTAGGCCATAAATAAAGGCTATGGGTATATACAGATACTAAATAAAAAGTTTGACTTAGACGTTCTTAAATTAATGATCAGTAAAATAGGATAGGGAAGTTGTTTTTCATAGCCTCAGTTTTTTAAATGTTCTGATAAGTGATATTTTTGTAGGCTATAAACAGAAAGTGTATGGAAGAAGTTAATGGAGATTAAATTGCACCCAACAACTAAAATTCATGAGACTCAATAGATAGAGGTCAAGAAACATATGTAAAGGTTAACTTGCTCCTCAGAGAAAATAAAAGTTATTTATGTAGGAACAAATGTTTAACCAAAAGGTTTCAAGGCGCCAAGACGTCTCTTATGCTTTGATGTAATGTTTCTTTGCTGTAACTTCTTGTCTCTGTTGTAAATCTAAGGGTCATAAACATGAAGACTGTGCCCCAGAATGGATTGTATTTTGAAGACATTGATTACTATGAAAGCAATGTTTTTTGTAACGGTATATAAGGGGGTTGTAAGAGAGAATAAGTAAGTAGAGAAAAAGATGAGGAGTAGAATAAGGAAGTAGATAAAAGGATGGGGAGTAGAATAAGGAGGAAGAGTAGAAGTAAAGGAGGGGAAGAAGAAGAAAGAATGAGAAGTAGAGTAAAGATGAGAGTTAAGAGTAAAGAATGAAGGGAGAGAAGAAGAATAAAGGAGGAAAAGCAGGAGGAGAATGAAAGAGGACAGGGAAGAAGAAGGGAAAAGCAGGAGAGGGGGGAGGAGAGAAAAGAATGAGCAGGACAGTAAAGAATGAGAGAAGAATAAAGCATGTAAGAAGATTTTGAATTAATCACGATCTATCGACTATGTGTAATTCTTTTCCGCCGACGCCATACACCTCTTCGGAAACCCTGGAATACGTTTGCTGGGGCTGGCTCCCGGCAACAAATACAATGATAATTTTATAAATATATACTATATCAAAGGAGCCCACAGTGATTAAAACTCAACTGAGAAATGAAAGGTTGGTGGTTCAAACTCATCAGTCGCTCCCTAGGAGAAAGATGTGGTAGTCTTCTGTAAAGAATACAGGCTTGGGGGTAGTTTTACTGTTTCCTATAGCGTAGCCATGGGTTGGAATTGACTCTGTGGCAATTATCTCACAGTTTATGAAATTATATGCTTTAAATCAATGCCATTTATTAAGCATGCTGTGTCATGCCAAGGGTTCAGAATATCTCCTTGTCTTTACCAGATAAAAGAGTGTTGACTTATTCTTAACGTACAGAAGACCAAACTAAGTCCCTGAACAAAGGCATGAATCTGACCCTACTTACCTTACCCAGTGCCATGGAGTCAATTCCAACACACAGTAACATAGCCAACCCAATAGGCTACAGTAGAATTGCCCCATAGGCTTTACAAGCCTGCAATTTTTATGGAACCTGACTGCTTCACCTTTCCTCACAGTGTGACTGGTGGGGTCAAATGGTCAATCTTTTACAAGTATTTTGCAGGGCACAGGTCAATCCATTTCATATACCAACTTTCCTTTGTGGGACATACCAGGATGTGTTATTTCCAGGCATTTTTGACCAACCTGGAGAGTGGGCATGGAAAGGCCCCAGGAACATCAGAGGCAGATAATAGCAAGGAACTGCCCATCAGAGAGCCCTGAAGAGCTGAAGACCTGGTTCCCAGAGTGTGGAGGCCAGACTATCAGCATCAGAGTCACTTAGGGTTTTGTTGGAAATGCAAATTCTCACTCTTCCTAGACATATTGAATCATAAGCACTTGGGCTGGGGCCTAGTTGCATATGCATTGTTGTTGTTGTTAGGTGCCTTCAAGTTGGCTACAACTCTAGTGACCCTGTATAGGGTTTCCAAGGAGTAACAGGTGGGTTTGAACTGTTGACCTTGTGGTTCGCAGTCCAGTGCGATAAGTTTTGAGAATTCCTGCTATAGTTCACCATCTCTATTCCAAACCCCAATGCTTTCTAAGTACAAGATTATGGTCAAAGTCTGGGGCTACCAAGGGGGGGAAGGGCTAATTGGAGTATCAGAGGTAAAGGAAGAAGAGACCAGAACCCTAGACCCTGAATATCTCCAAATAGGTGTTGGTGCTTGCAAAAAAGTGAGAAGACAGACACCACCCCTTCATATATAAAATCTTTATTGAACTCATACTTTGTGTCAGAGTCTACTGTAGATATTAAGGGGCCTATTAAGGCCTTGAGAGCAGAGGGTACAGGGACTATGTAGATGATTGCGGATAGAACAGAAACATGTTGTTCTTTTGGGACTCCTGTGGTCTGTCCAATCTTCAGAGATGCTCACCAGGGGACGACATGACCCTCCCAGTCCAGGAAGGCCCCTGCTTCCTTCTCTGTGAGCTGCGCCATCACCTTCAGAACACCCTGGATGGACTCTGTCACTGTCAGCATGGGCTGCAGAACAGACAACCCCCATGGCCTGATTAAGATCATCTAGCCCTGGATACTTATAACTAGAAATGTACGGTTGAACCAAAGTCAAAGGAGCCAGAAGAAGCAGGACACCCCGTCCCTCATCTTCATGGACAATAAATGACACTCTTCTAGCATCCACTTCATAAGATTCACAATTGACCTCATGACTTGTGCAGTGCTACCCATTCACCCAAGCTTCCAAGTAAACAACCATCTTGTTCAGTATCGGCTTATGACCATATATATACCTCATGCTGCTAGCAGAATGAAAGAATGGAGCAAGGAAACCCAGCCTGACATCTCTGCCAGGCTCCCCTGAGGGTCCAACTCTTAGCCTTGCTCTATACTGCCAGGTGGACCATAGGGAAATTGACACTCACAGTGTACTCAGAGATGGAGCTCATGTCCGTTTTCACCCAGCCAGGGTGGATGCCTGCACACAGGATGCCTTCCTTAGCATAGGTTAGACCTTGGCACCGGGTCAGCATATTCAGAGCAGCCTGGGAAAGGAATGAGTTCAATAGGGGTGTAGCAAATTCAGGGAGGCACCAAATGCAGTCTTAGTCCCAGTCCCTCTCACTCTGTTCACCTTACTACAGCGGTAAGACGTAGCCTGTCCGTACTCCCAGCCCAGTAATTCTGTGAGGGAACCTGCAGCACTGCCCATATTGATGATGGCAGCCCTTGCCCAGCTCAGTTCCTTTTTGGAGTGAATGGAAGCAGCCTTCTTCAGTAGAGAGCCAAAGACCTGTAATGAAGATAGGAAGAGGAGTATGCCAGCAAAAAGTGCATATTCTTAGTCTATTGTTCTTGACAAATCTAAATCTAATAATGACCATCATTTCAGTTGCTGCTGAGTTGATTGTGACTCATAGTGTTTCCCATGTGAGTCCGAGTAGAACTGTGCTCCAGAGAGCTCCCCGTCTAAGTTGTTTGTGGTTTTGTATTTCTCAGAAGTAGAGCGTCAGGTCTTTCTCTGAAATACCCATGTGTGGGCTTAAACCTTCAACTTTTGGGTTAACATCTGAGCGTATTATTTGTTTGCACCACCAAGGGACTACAAACCTGACAACAAGTTCATCATTGTTCCATTCTACAGGTAAGTCTGCATGATCCAATGTGGGACCCAGGTGTCACGACCACTGGAATCAGACTTTTTCCAACCTGGCCTATTAATTTCTGTTGCCCTAATCCAGGATGTTGAGATCAAAGGAGGAACATCAACTGAAGGGCAGGGTCTAATCTGAGCCAGTAGATAATGGTAGGAGCTCACCTGGCCAAGGAGCAGGGGCCCCACAACATTGGTCTGGTAGGACAGATGCATGCTGGATGCCTTCTCTTCATGCAGAGATGAAGGTATCAGTATTCCAGCATTGTTGACCAGCAGGGCTAGACCTTCACCACTCAGGTAATTTCGCACCTGTGTCTCAGCTAACTGGATGGATGTGGGGTCTGTGACATCTTTGATGAAAAGGCAGAGCAGGCATCAGAACCTTGCTTGATTCCTCTGCCCTCGTTCTCTAAGCTTTGCTTCTAACTTGGTGGTACACTTTCTTTCTCATCGTAAGTCATTAAACCTCTTACTGTCCCTGGGTTAAAGCTTAAGACTGTGTATGGGAATAGATGTCTAAGGAGTCTATCTTTTCAATATGCCATCTTCACAATTAAATGAGCAGAGATCAGAGACTCTGATCTGTGGATAGTTGGGTAGACACTGTCCTATGGGTAGTCACAGTGGGCATAGGGGGCCTTTGCAGAAGAAGCTCGGTTGGGAAAGATTAGGAAAAACTATAGACCATTTCCATAAGGAAATCAATTTTAGGGGGATCCTGTGACAGTGCTAATCAGGGTCATCACAAGGATGGGGACTAGGTGCTAGGGGATCAGGGCCTAGGGAAAGACAAAGAATCTGACAAAAAGGAGGAGAAGCCTAAGGCTGGCTGTACCCTCACCAAGACGAAGGATCCGTAGATTTGGTTCTTTTTCTGCCAGTTCCTGAAGGCTCTGGGGGAGAGAAATCAAGAGTAGCCCTAGGTCTCACAAACCTTCACCCCAGTTCACATCCATCCTGGCGCTGGGAATCTCTTACCTGTGCTTGGGGTCCATTGGGGTTTCGACAGGTAGCAAACACCAGCTTGGGAGGTTGAGGCAATGTCAGAAGCTGCCGCACCAGCTCTAGTCCTAGGCCTCGATTGGCTCCTGTCACCAGGGCACTGGGGGGGCTGTTATGGGTCATTGTGCTGCGCTTCTTGCAGATCCGACTGTCCACACTGCTGTTCCTTAGTTTGTGGCTGTCTTGGGTCCTTGGAGGTTAATATTAAGTCTTTCTCCCATGTGACTCCTGCTGGAAATGTGACAATGTGCTCAGAGTTCAAGGGTGATGTCATTGGAAGGAGGAGGAACTGTAATTAGAATATCAGTAGAAAGATGATGGAGCTACCCAGGGCACTGAAAGATATGTAAGAATGGGAGGGCCAAGTGAATATCTGTTTAAGTTGGAGACAGTATAGACCCATTTCTTTTCAGTAGTCATCAGACCATGCACAAGGAATCAACTCAAAAAGAGAGAGAGAGAGAGACAGTCCATTGCTGAACTTTCAAGTTTCCTTATAGGATTCTCTATCTCTAGCTGCAGTATATACTTTTATTTGCCACTGTTGAGTCACTTTCCTATGTTGGTTACAGGACTATTGCACGAACTGTCTAAATGGTGCCCATTATTAAAAGTTAACACCTCACAGCCCCCATTATTTGTAATATTTTCTTTGATTTAATGAGATTTTGATTTGTTTGGGCCATTATTCTCTCCTTCTCCAGGGGAAGGTCAGTGAGTAACTCACGTGTCAGTTCAACTACATGAATTATACATAAGGTTTGTTTCACCATCAGACTTGTTCCCTGATGTCGGGACCAACTATATGTATAATTCATAATACAGATCCTATGCTGCTTGCTAAGGTGAGAACAGGTACTTCCTCAGTTTCTTTACCTGGCCTAGTCTGCTTCCCCCACTCCGCTTTTCCTGACAGCTTGTTGTTGTTAAGTGCCATCAAGTCATTTCCAACTTGTATTGACTCTGTATAAGGTTTCGAGGGACTGACTGGTTGGTTTGAACTGCTGATCTTGCAGTTAGAAGTCCATTGCTGATTCTACAGGGTCCTTCCTAAAATACCTGTATCACATCGGCAGTGACAGGATCAATTCTAGGAAGCAGATACTAAGGTTGGAATTCTGAAATGAATGTTTTGTATTTCATATGGCAGGAGGAGCCCATCAGTGGTGGTAAGTGTTGGTACTTAAATTCTTAAGTACAACAGCTTGAGGATTCCTTAGCATGTAGTAACATGCTAAGACCTGGATTGTATATCAGCTGTGTCTCAGACTCTATTTGTGAGACGACAACTTGTGCATTCCTTGAATGCTCCAGCCTGAAATATGATTCTCAAGTGTCCCCACCCTGCACATATGTACTTCCAAAAGCCACTGAGGAGCCCCTAACCGCTCCACTGGAGGGCACAGCTCCATCCCTCCTGAATATACCAAGCAATACATTACTTATGTAGAACTTAGGTGAGAGGTGCCAACAGTAGTCTAGAGCTGGTACTGCCCCAGCTTCCCAACTGGGTGTTTGTCACATGCCAGAATCCCAATGATCCCCAAGCATGTGTAAGAGGCTGCTAAGGCCAGGATGGGTGTGAGCTGGAGTGAAGACTTGTGAAACAAAATGTTACTCTTGTTTCCAGGATCTATAGCGCAGTAACCAAACCTGTGGATCCTTCATCTTGGTGAGTGCAAAACCAGCCATGGCTTATTTATCTCCCTGATTCCAGGATTCACTACTCTGCCTACTCCTCCATATTGTTTTCACTCTGGTATCTACCCTCATTCAAGCTTGTCCAAGGGCTCTCTTCAACTGATTTTCTTATAGGCATGGTCCAAACCCCTTCCTAATTCCACCCAACTGAGCTCCTCACTGGAAAGACCATGATTTCCTCAATTGTCAAGCGACTTCCTCGCAAGTCAACACTCTAATCACTGGACTTGGAGATGCTATTCAATATGCACCTGTCACACTAGGCCAATGTTGTGGAGCCTCTGCTCCTTGTCCAGATGTGTCCTTAAACTGGCCTAGACTAGTCCATGCCAGTCAGCTCATGCTCTGGGTGAGGGAATTAGGAGATAAGCAAGCCCCGTAGGAACCAGTATCTAATGGCCCTAAAAATTGGTGTTACAACTTTGGAACTACAGGGCTTTGGGATACAGACATTGAGACATGGTTGGTATGGGGGAATGATGTTAAGATGCTTGGCTGTCTTTTGAATATTGATTTTCCTTGCATTATAATATAGAGTAGACACTGGAAGGGGAGAGAAAGGAATAGTCAGAAACATCACCATAGAAAGCTTGTAAGTCTGTCTTCTGCCCATAACTGATTGGAATACCTAAAATGGGGCTACAACGTGCCCAGTGAAGGAGGCTTCCTGCGGAGCCTTTGCAATACATAAGACTATAGGTAGAAACCTGAATCACATCCAGATCTGCAGAGATGGGAAATTTCCATTTGAAAGGATGAGCAGACCAGCCTGGAGCGGCTAGAAGAACAGAAGATACTTCTTGAAAGAAAGACCTACAGGAAAAATACAAAACAATAGAGGCAGACAGACTGGTACTACAAGAACAAACAAGTTGCTTGCCCAGGAAACATCAAGGCAAGTGGTGGGGTCCCCTCAGTGCAAACTCCCTTCCAAGAATAAGACTCAATGGGAATACACGCTCTGATTGGTGACCACACTCGTCACCAATAAGGGGAAGTCAGGGAAAAACAGCAATGAAGTGGCGAGCTAAGCCCTACAATGTGGAAAGTGAAGCTGATAAAAAGAGAGAGCATATGCACAAGAACACCCACACTTGCAGATAATACCCACTTGACCTGATTTCAAAGACTGGATGATCAGAGCTCAACTAGAAGAAGAAAGGAGAGGAAAAAAAGAGTAATCTGATACAATTTGATGAACTTGACCTACACCTATAGAAGCAGTAGCTCAAAAGAGGGAACAGATCATTACAGCGAGGATCACTCCCATCCCCTCCATAGACAGAGTAGACAGAGATGAGCCACTTGCACATGGCTACCCAAAGTGTGTGTGTATGTGGGGTGAGGGGCTACAAGAAGTGAGTGGCTTACAAGCTTTCAAGAAGGAACCTAGAGCCAAGGGGCTTGGAGGAAGGCAGAATCTCCAGTGAGTAGTATCCAATCTGTCTAGGCGGAGCTGATGAAATGAAATGCAGAAGGGTCTCTTGTGATACAATAGTGAATAATTGTTATCAGGACTGATTGTGAGGGTTGGAAATGTAAAGGTAGATGTTTTATAGCAAGGAAGGGAGTGATTAACTTTCCAGTCTAGGAGCAAAGGTCCCTAGGACCATCAATGGAGAAGAGCCGAGAGTGGGACCCTACCCAGAGAAGCAGTGATGCCTGAGATGGAGGCAGAGACAATGATGTGGAGTGATGGAGCAGCTGGGGACTTTAGATCCAGAGAGGGAGAGCAACTGTGTGCTGAAGACTGGGGCCGGGGGTGGGGTGGGGTGATAGTGTAGGGGGCAGGCTTGCAGGGTATACCCTTTAGTTGATTGATAATGCATGGAGGGGATTGTAACTATGGCAATGAAACGATATACGATAGAATGAATGTAAAACTTATGTTCTCCCATGTAAACTATCATATAATTCACAATAAAACATAAAAAAAAAAATTGGTGCTAAACTGAGTCATCTAAACTAATCTGTAGAATAATAATGTGATGAACTTTGTTGTCAAATTTAGACTTGTCAAGAATGAGTGGCTGTTGTTATTGTTGTTGTTAGGTGCCGTCAGGTCACTTCTGACTCATAGCAACCTTATGCATAACAGAATGACACACTGCGTCATCCTCACAATTCTTGTTACCCTTGAGCACATTGCTGTTGTCACTGTATCAATCCATCTTGTTGGGGGTCTTCCTCATTTTCGCTGACCCTCCATTTTACCATGCATGATGTTCTTCAACAGGGACTGATCCCTCCTGATAACATGTCCAAAGTATGACAGACAAAGTCTCAATATCCTGGCTTCTAAGGAGCTTTCTGGTTGTACTTCTTCCAACACAGATTCGTTTGTTCTTCTGGCAGTGTATGTCACCATTAATATTCTTCTCTAACACTGTAACTCAAATGCATAAATTCTTCAATGGTCCTCCTTATTCATTGTTCAATTTTCACATGCATATGAGGCTTCTGAACATACCATGGCTTGAGTCAGGTGTACCTTAGTTCTCAAACTGACATCTTTGCTCTGGAATACTTTAAAAGAGGTCTTTCACAGCAGATATGTGTAATACAGTATGTCATTTGATTGCTGCTTCCATGAGTGTTGATTTGGATCTAAGTAAAATGAAGTCTTTGACAACTCCAAATCTTTTCTCCATTTATCATAATGTTAATTTATTGCTCCAGTGGTGAAGATTTTTGTTTTCTTTACATTAAGGTACAACCCATACTGAAAGCTGTGTTCTTTGATCCTCATCAGTAAGTTTTTAAAGTCCTCATCTGCAAGCAAGGTTGCATCATCTGCATATCTCGGGTTGTTGATGAGTCTTCTTCTAATCCTGATGCCACGTTCTTCTTCATATAATCTAGCTTCTTGAATTATTTGCTCAGTATACTGATTGAATAAGTATGGTGAAAGGATACAATCTTAGTTGGCACATAACTTTCCTGATTTAAAACCATTCAGTATCGAGAGGACTTCTGGCACTTCCCTGACCAGGCAGCTCAGGTAGGGCAGTCTCGGGGAAAAGGAGTGGAATCGCACATAGGAAACCTCTGTCTAGCAGACAGACAGCCTTTGAACAAACATAAGATCTTATATTTCAACATTCTGAACTCGTTTTTTTTAAAAGATCAAATTGCTGAGGAATTACAGGCATTTTGAGTTTTGCCTGCCTGCATGCGGCTCCTGCTTCCACGCCCACGCTGGCGAGTACCTCTGCCCCCTGCAGACCTTGGAATGCAGGGCTAGAGCAACCCCACTTAGAAGGATGCATTTCCAGAGAAAAGGAAGCATAAACTAACAAAGCCAAACAAACAGAAAGGGATATCGGCATGGATATCAGGAAATTTGGGGTACCCACGGTACAGAGACTGAGAGAGGCATTGTTTACGTAATCAAATATAGACACTACCTCCCTGCAGCCACC